ATGCGAGAACGTGCTTGTTGATGAAGTCGTGAATAAGCCAGGCTAAGCTGGACCATTCGAAAATCATACGGTACCTATCTCTTCAAGGTTATCACCACCGTATCTGCACTACTAAGGTACATATTTGCAGGTTGTTCGCAATCGCGCGTGTCCCCGATTGAGGGGTGGCGCGTAGTGAGGTTCTTCATACGTCCTGTGACTCAACTTTGATAAAACTATGTCTACATGTCTCCAGATACACTGGATCTTGATTCATCACGCAATTCTCATACATTAGGTAGATAGATTCTGATGATAGGCCTGACCTACACCTTGTCGTTCATCAGTGAAGTTTGTCCGTGGTACTCTGTACATGAATCGGGATTTCCCTTCGCATTCCGCGATGGGGCAGCCTAGTTTCATGTCTCCCTACTATTCGCGAACAGAGCGAAAACCCAACACCCTAGAGCCTCATCTCCCGCATAAACTAGTCAGAAAGCAGATTAACGTCAAGGCCCCAACCTCTCCACCTTATCTATATCAAGTGATGTTAGACGAATACAACCATGTGATTGAGTCCGGATTACATTACCACACAGATACGTACCGCGGTGATGAGCTGTGGTTTCGTCGTGGGCAATCTGATCATAATTTCTACTCACTTCGTTTCCACAGGTTCTCCAGGTACTTACTTTAGGCTGGGAGATCGACGACCGTCAAGAACAATGCCAAGTTTTGAGGTACAGTGGTAGGTACACATTCCATTATGATTCCGGCACCCACAGTGTTTTGCCTCAATAATCGCAATAGTGCTTGAGGACCCGACCATGGGACCCGGCATATTTCCATTTACGCTTGATAGATTTCTAATTCTACCTGTCCCTTTTGTACTGTACATACTGTTACAAAGGGATGCGGTGTGATGTGTGGAACATGGCCAGGAAAGCAATGCACACTCATGGCACACCCTCTGATATTGGCAATACTCATTCATTACATCCTTAGGGTGTTCCCAGAAGACCAACCCTGACCTGATCACAGCTGTTAGCACGCTTAGGCAGGACTGTCGACCATTCTCCTTATTCCTCAATGGTCCAAGCACCTCAGCTGAGTCTGGACCAGGTTCTACCACCATGCCATTCAGTATTGATTAACGTTGTCATCGGCCTGTACGTCCGTGATGAACGGCCCCGATCCAGCACACAGCGACTCAGAATGCTGGTATATCAGGGGAAGTGAACAAAGAAAGACAAAGCCGAAAGAGTTTCTTGGCATCTTCGATGGGGGCTCATCGACTATGCACGCATCCAGCGATGGGGCAAGCGAATCATTCATTGTATTATGAGAACTGATCAACGCGCATCCCTTATCAAGCTGCTCGACGATGTTTTCTGAAAGAAGACAGAATCAAAAGGGATTTGCGTTCCAAGCATCCATAATGAACACACGATAAATGCCCGGAAATATGCTATCTTCTCAAGGGATCAAAGCGTGGATAATCGTCTTGCTTCTTGCGTCTTGCGTCTTGCACTAAATGAGGCTCCGGAAAGAGTGGATAATAACGACTGGTCTGGCACCATGCTTGTGCCCTTTGTTTGGTGAAAGCTTTGTTGTTTATTAAAACCCTTCTTTCTTGCTGCTCTTGTTGTCTGGAAACCGGTACGATTGGCTCCGGAGCTGGTCAGTTTGATCAACTCTTTCATCGTGCGATGCCTCGAGTGGAAGTTGCATGAGCCCTCCAATTCTCAGGATATTTGCACCGCCGATGAACACATTGCAAGACACGTTGAGAAACCACGATGATCATTTCTTAAGCTAGTAATGCTGCAGATGTTTACCCGGCAAGGTTTACTTCTCGATGCTTGCACGTTGGTCCTAATCTACGGACACCTTAGTATCGATCGATGTCTGAGACAGCTCACTAGCATTTCCGGGGCTTGTATCCGTAGTCCCAGAAGCTACGGATAGGTCTTAGACCAGCCCACCACAGATCTTGAGAAACTGTCCATGCTGTTCCATCCGTCGGCCGCAAAAGCAATGATAGAGTCGTATCGGTGTGAGGGCAGAAGTGAGGGGAGAGTACAGCTAGTCTTCATCAAATTTAGTCTCACATTTGGTAGACATCCTTATTTCCTGCAAAATGCCATTTCGATCTCAGCCAAGACTTCTAGTGTCAAGTCAGCAAGTGTAGCGTCCAAAAGCACACAGAATTATCCGAAGCAAGCAGCTCAGATCAATGTCTGACCCAGGAGAACACGTCTTCATTCTGATGGTATAATTCAGAAACATGCAGCGGGCCTCCGTACAACTGACCGGTCGCTAGGCCCGAGCTATTGTTGTTTCTTATGAGAAAGTGGGTTGGTGTTGTTACACAAGCAAGCTCTTATACGTATCGGGCTATGATCGTCGATTATGAAGATCCCCTCGACAAAATCCCAGACCACCCAGACCTTGGAACTCGGCGTTCAAGGTGATATGACGCTCTCCTTCTCTAGTTGATAGTCAAACTCTAGCAACGGTAAAGACATATCCCTTGCCGAATGAATGCTCTCGATGCGGAAATAACAAGCACAAACACAACACTCACCTATGGTAGCGATCTATTTTACGCTCCCCTCTACAATCCGTCATATATGATATAATCCTGTCCTGCATCCATAGTACTACGTAGGCTGTTCTGATACATGAACTATTCTAATAAGCTCACAGAACCTACGTCAATCGCAAATTTAACATTCCAACCCATATCCATTCCAGCCAGTTGGTTCACTTACTGACCAGGACGTGAAGATGGCTTGGCCGCCTTACCCGAAGGGCTTGATCGTGCAGACAGATCAGAGGTAAGGATGGCAGCGCCGAAAGATCGGGGGCCAAAAGGGGAACAGGTTGGGGAAGAGCTACTGTTTGCCAAACTTTACCACTGATGACTTGCGTCGTTCGCCGGCGGGAGTTGAGCGCCTCTTTTCTTGTTGCGTTCCCAGGAGCTTGGTTAGCATGGCTGAGCCTATCCGTTGATGGCGGCGGAAGGGCAGAGTTGAGTGAGGGGACAAGGTGTTGCAGCCAGGATCCACGATGGTCGCAAGAGCTAAGCATTCTCCCCGGTCGTTTGACGAGGGGCCCTTGTACGAGTGTCAGGGGAAGGGGTGTGCATCAGAGAGCAGGGGTCTAGGAAGACTCGGGATAGGGGACATGGGGTATCGATCCGGTGGGAGAGACTCAACCTTTTTTAATGGTTAGTGCATCTAAAGAACGTTAGCTCTTGTAGAGAAAAAGGAAAACAGTACGGCTTCCTTCCAGCTGAAATCAGCAGAAGAAGGAGATTTTGCTGCCTACAGAAGAAGACAAAGGAGAAAAAGAGATACAACAGAACCCATTTCATCGTCATCTCAAAGATCCCCGCTTACTCTTCCGCTTACCTGCAACAGACTACGCCCAAAGTCCCATCAATTCTATACTGCAGTATCGAACAATTAAACCTGGGGAATGCTCAAGGGGTCTATGGTCCGTAGAAGGCACAGACAGTTAAGGACTCAAGGACGTTACTAATGGGTCACAGTGCAGAGCAATCGACAGGGGTATCGGAGCAATCCTACATTACGTAGTACATGAGAAGCGTCAGGTATCACAACTAAAGGTTTATTGGATAGAATTATCGCTGTGCCATGCATCTCACCACCGAAAGATATATTTACGCTGGCCGTATAAATGATTATTGAAAACAATCAATGCGAGCGCCGTTATCACAACTTGGGCATCCTCATTGAGGCTCGCGGATCACTCTCACAGGATCCACATCATTAAAAAAAAAAAAAAAAAAGAAAAGCCCAATATTGATCTGCGCTGCATCTTGAACCGTAGATGCGGGAGTGCAGCAGGGGACCCCGGGGTTCCGAATGTGCACGGAGACAAGGCTCTCAGCGGGACAGAGATATCAGTGATTGTCATTGCCCTATCTGTACTCCGTAGATATGTATTAATAACGATATTATACAAAAGCAATGAAGGGTAATGGGAAAGCACTGTCGTTCATCGAATAATTGGCCTGGAACCTAGGTCTTGATCTATGAATCTTACTCAAGTCAGATGATTTGGAGTATGTAAATGCTTCCCTCTACAACTTCTGAATGTCTGATGTATGTATCATGACGACGAATGAATTTGAGATCAGCCATGCCGTTGAAACAGGGTCTCTCAGGCTAGAGCGCGGCCAACACATGAAATCTTGGCAGGGGATAGATATGTATATGGGACATGGCTGTTGAGGCTTGTTCGTTAATGTCCAATTCTCTTGAAGACAAAGAAGATTGCAAGCATCCCTTGAAAGATGAACTGTTTGCTGAATTAATATTGGCGTTCCAAGACTGGAAGTTACTGGACAACAAGTTCTTTGATATGGCGCTAAAACCGGTTGCTTCCAGCCGCCAATCGCCCGGCTTAGTCCCCAGGCAAGTTTTCTCGATCTGATGAGAACCATTCTTTTTGGAGGATGAGGAAAGCAGGGAGTATGTAAAAGTCCACCCCAAGCGAAAGACAACCCGAAAAGAAAGCCAGCCCCTTATGGATGAGTCGAATTCTGCATTCCGTAACTATTGGGCGCTGGTGTTGCAACCATCGTGCCCTAACATAGAGGTTAAGTTCTGGGCTCTGGCAATTGGAGTCTCGACTCGCAAATGACCATTCCCATGCCGGCTCGTCTCCGTGAACTTGTTGATTTGGTGTCTAACGCGGACCCATTTGCTGGTAGTCGCCGAATTACAGGAGACAGGCGAGCTTCAGCTTCGCTTTGGCCGAAAAAGACAACTTCAGGGTCCAACTTGGACCACAAGACCATCACAGCCATTTTTCTTCTTGGTATGCTCGGGCTGGGATCTTTGAGGTCCGTGTGTACCTGGACGCCTGGTGAGGGCCTACAGAAGTCGACTGACTGATGGTGAGGGCGGTTGGAAAGTGTTCACCTGCCACGTTGTATGCGTTCACTCACACTCCTAGTAGACACACTTCTCTCCTACGTGACTCTCTAACTAAACGTTCTTGCCTTGGGAACTACCAGGATCACAGCACCTTAAAACACCCCCATTACCACAGCCATCATCATCAATGTCAAGCAGCATCTGCCCTTCGATTTTGGGCCACCAGGGACGCCTTCCGGACGCCGTCCCCGTTGTGCGTTCGACGCCTTCAGGGGTTGCATGAGAAACAGAGTCCAGCTGGTCGGATCCCGCCACTGCCACAGCCAGGATACCAGGCTGCCAGAGTTGCAGATGGCTTCTCCAAAAGACAGCCATGACAAGCTAAAGCAGAAGCCAAAAGCGGCCATCAGCTTGGCCCTTTAGAAAATCATTGTGATTTGCTTGAGAAGCATAGGCTGTTGGCCGAAAGCCCAGGAGTTTGGCATTCTAGCCATCCCCGGGTCTGGAAGACGAGGCTGGCATTCATTCACGGACAAGAGAATGAGGTGGTAGTGTGCTGGAGTGTCCCAACAAATGATGACACGGGAGACCAAGAGCTACAGGAGAACTGCAAGTTGTTGATGGGAGCAAACCCAAGAGCAGCTTAACAAGAGGACAAACATCAAAGTGAAAGTTGTGCTCCATCATCATAGGTAGGTATTTTACGGGAGGGATTTGCGTGCCATCCACTCATAGCAAGCATCAGCCGCTTTCCCACCCCCTGGTACCCGATCTCGCCCAAGCCACTCAGTAAAAAGTAGGGACGGGGATGGAGATCCCGTGTGCCAGAACACACAGTAGACGATGATCAACATAGCCAAACTTCTGACTAGACCACATGTCAAGAAGAGCTCGATCTATGGTTTTTTGTCATTTGAACTGTTATGGATGAGGCTTGATGTAGATAGACTCCTGCACCGGCGAACCATTCATGCTTCGACGAAGCTCAATCTCGACTACTTGCGACCGCAGCAAATCGCAAATTATGACCACAGCAGACCATCAATGAGCTGAACCGATGGAAATGTGCTTTGTCGTGTAGTGCACTGCAGGATTTTCGTGGTGCATGGTTTCCGACTCTCCTCCTTCTCACTCCATCCTCAGGTTGGACGGAGAGCATTCGCATTTGCAGCTTACGCAGGTACTTGAGTACTTGTCAATGGTTATGGTTGAGGGGGAGCTATCCCACGCTTGTGTCGTTGCCTCTTGTCTCCCCCAGTTGAGCATAACTCGCACAATTGCTTCCTATGTTGATGTTTGTGCCTTTGAATGAATGTCTCGTCCTTGGTTGTACCCACACCTACAGAGTTTCCACCCATGCCATTCCAGGTCTCACCCCTGTTCTTCTTTCCGGCTCCAGCTCCGGCCTACTGGTGGTGGTGGTGGTAGTGGTAGTGGTACCAGCAGGCAGTCCAGCCATCCATCCAGCTGCCAATGCCCAAGGTGGTGGGCATCCATCCTCGTCTAGAGATGTGATGGAAACACACTAATAGATGAGTGTAATGCCTGTACTCCGCACGGCGGCCATGATAAAGCCCTCCCTCGTTGCTATCACGACCAACCTTGGCTTTTGAGTTGAATGCGTGCTTTCGTCTGTTCATGAACTTTAACTCTATGTTCCCCTCATTTGCCCGCAGATGGCAGCGGCCAAATTATGATTGCAAGCAAAGGTAAAAAAAAGGTACTTGAGCAGGTACTTGGCTGTAGGTACAGGAGGTACTTCAGCTTCCCTCAGGTCGGTCTTGGACCAACACCTGGGCCCATGATTCTTTCAGCCCTCCCGCGCTAGTCGGTTTTAGTGCCAGTTGTCTGTCCTCAGAGATCCCGTCTCAGTGACGGCCTAGCAGGGATGGGTGCTAGTACTAGACCCATATAGACGCCAAGGCGAGAAGCTACGGCCTGGGCAATTGAGGTCCCCTGCTAGCGCTCGAGTCTCGCTAGTCTCACTCTGTTTTAGCTAAGGCTAGGCTCGTTTTTGTTGGTCCTGGCTCAGAGCTGGCCCCTGCGCTCGTTCACTTTCATCTCGTTCCCCTGCTCAGCTCTCGCACCTCCGTGGCGTTAGTAAATGCTTCCTTCTTGCATCGAGGCAGAGGCCCTGACCAGATATACATATTACACCAGAGAACGCCAAAGCGCCACCCTGGGTAAAGAAACCTTATTGAAAGTCTGTGGACTTTTCATTGACGACACCCCAAAAACCCCCAGTCAACCCCATCATCCCGATCCGAATCTCGACAACATCGTGACTGCTGTACAGTACTTTCAGCTAACCCAGAGGTATTCATCTACCTTGATCCTCCTCCGTTTTTCAGCTTGCCCTTTCCCCTCCTTCTCCTTCTTTCTTTTTTTCAATTCAAGCTTTCCAAGTGTGCTTCTACTCATCATCATCTTCGGCCTTACACTGCCTACCACTGTCCTTTGCGATTTGTCAATGCCGTTTAAAGTTCGTCTATGAGATCAAGATAACTTCATCCGGGCAATCAACTCTTCTGTATTCCACCGAGTTATACTATACATCGCGTATCTACTTCACCTTGCGCACGAAAAACTCACCACTCCCTCGCAACATCAGTGATACAGCAGTGGCGGAATACGACCCCTCTTTGCTGTGACGAGAAGTCTTTCCAAGAGTCATTCTGCCAACACGAACTCAGCCTCGATACCGGGCAAGAGTTGCTCAAGTTCCCCCTCCTGTATAAAAGTACCTTTTTGGGAGCTCCTCGGCCCGCCATCAACTATACTCCTCAACTCCAAGATCACACGAACAACTCTAATATCCCCTCTCTGCCTCCTGTGGCCCACGGCGGCTATATAAGCCTTCGTGCTCCTCCGTGGCATATTTTTACCTCTGGCAACGAACAAAGCAAAGCGTTAAACTCTTGCAACCACTCCAAATTTATGTCAATGGAGGGAGCTAGTTTCTCTTCACGGCGTCCCGCCGCAGGCGCCCTGCCTGCCATGACACTTCCGCCACCGACAACAGATGTTCCAAGTATGGCCAAATACCCTCTCTACCCTTCTTTCCCAGGTAACTCGTCAGAGTCCTTTCAGTGCTCCCGGGAGGGCGAGCCGGTTGGATATTCATATCCGTCGTCTTACTCTCCCATTCCTGGTCCCTTTCCAGATCGCCGCATCTCGTCTTCGCCCAGTATTCTGACCCCTTCGCCAGGAGCCAGTGATGGCCTGAGCCCCAGTCTTTCCAGCGTCAATACCGGGAGTTCCCAGGGTTCTCAAGCACCAGGCAACATGTATCAATATGGACAACTTCCCGCGGCATGGGCTACACCAAGCAACTCCTCGTATACCGTCAGCTCTGCGACCCAGGCTCAGCCAGCCCTTGGTCAACAGCACTTTGCTGGACGAACCAACCCAATTTACAACCAAGGCTCCGGAATGCATCAATATAACCACCCTCGAAGTTCTCAGTCGCCGGCTACTGGAGGTGACGGACTCCCAGCACCCCCTTACGATCAAGTGCATCAACCCTTTCAGACTTCGATCTCGGGCGGAGGTGGCCAGACCACTCCACCAGGCCTCTCGGCATCTCAACAGGCCCAGGGTGGAATTCTGACTTCGCAAGGCTCGGTAGCGACGCAACCCCCTACTCCTTCGAGTGTTTCGGCACACGTCGATTCATATACGCACTCGAGGCCCCCCAGCACGCCGAACTACTATACTTCATCTGCATCTCAGCAGTCTAGCTATCAACCATATGGTCACCAGCCTTCACCGACCCAGCATACCTCTTCTAATGGCGGCCCTGTGCCCAGGGGCCTTGGATCGATGTCAGGCCAGCCGCATGGTGCTGGCATGGCACCCCCTGGTTCCTATCGACCATACGCCCCTTATCAACCCCTCCCCACCATGGGAGGTTCAGTCTTGTCCAATATTCATCAGCCTGGAAGCCAAATGTCAATGATCCCAGGGATGCCCGTCAATACATATGGGCATCCCATGCTATACGGAGGTCAAGGTCAACCCCCACCAACACAGTCAGAGCGGCCTTTCAAGTGCGACCAATGTGTTCAGTCGTTCAGTCGAAACCACGATCTCAAGAGACACAAGCGGATTCATCTGGCAGTCAAACCTTTCCCTTGTACTTTTTGTAGTAAAAGCTTTTCCAGAAAGGATGCTCTGAAGGTAAGTGATTTGGCTGTGCTGCCACTCCGGCCCCTGATTCGATCGTGACATTCATGGCACTTGCTAACTCAACTATAGAGACATCGGCTTGTCAAGGGCTGCGAAACCAAGAACAACGAAAATTCTGGTGATGGTAACGGAGCAGATCGCAGTGGAGAGGACAACGATAGCCCTGAAGTCAAGAGGGAACAGTAAACCTGTTTCGCAAGGAGTTGTTGTTTTAATGCGCGATACCCGGGTTTCAAGATGACGACAACTTCAGCACCTGGTTTCAAGAAAATAACGGTCTGGGTATTACAAGGGCAGGCGGCTACCGCATATGCCTGTTTCGAGGCACATATCTCTATCATCCATTCTGGCATTTGAACAAATTCCCATATAATACTTATCATATAATGTCTGCCAGGTTTGTCACAGGAAAATAGGCGCTACAGGGTCTGGAAAGATTGGAATATCGGCGTCAAGGCATACGGAATGGAGCTCAGGTGAAGGCAGATTCTATCAACGGGTCTTCATTGATGTGTTTATACGACAAAATATGGCATTAACAAGGCGGGCTTGGGACGGGACTCTTACCAGGATAACGGAATTGGGCTTTCAAGAGGATGGAAATGTGTACAGGTATGACGGTTGTGTAACGCATGTGTATATTTTATTGGCCAAATGGCGTTTTGCCCCTGACAGGGCGGTCTCTTGATGGGATGCGACGATGCGTAGAACAACTGTTTCTGACTTGACACGTACATCACGAAGAGCTTCTCCGAGACATTTGATGAGGACTATGGTGTCTTCAAATGATTTTGCAAAAAACGCAAAGCAACAAGGTGGGTAACCTGGCAAGCAGGGAGTGATAGATCAGTCTTGTGTACGAACAAGAAGGGACTTGTTGATTTGCCAGTGTACGAGACTATCAATGTAAGCCCTCTCAGCGATTGGCTGGCGGTCATTATCTGGTTTCAGTTATCGAAGCTATCGAATATGGGTTCCGGAGTAGGAATGGCCTGCACAAACACTAGAGTAACGCTCGGCATGAAGATTTGGTCAGCCAGCCACAGTGAACTACCATTATGCCTGAGGACTAGCATTACTGGAATCCATTCGGGAGGTCCTAATGTGAAGGAAGCGGTTGAGCAATCGGGCTCGTGTCCAGACCTAGCATAGACGACCCAGCAGTGAATGAAAGAGGGCATGGGAGCGCCAGATGGGTCTAGATGCAGTGACATGCAGATCTATCACGCAGATCTTGGGGATTCCAAATACAATTGAAACTCCAATTGAGTCCGCGGTCTGAAGTCTCATTGCAGAGATTTACCTCTGGCGAGATCTATGGCGATGAAGGGGAGTGATCGAGACCACCGTCCCCGGCCTAAAGTTTTGGAGCAATTGGTTATCGTAGTTTGCACGATATGAAAGATCCCCATTGTTTGTGTTTCCTTCACTTCCACGGGGCTATACCCCATCCTCTACATACAGCAAATGGAATAGAAGTACAACCCATCTTCGGCCTTCACAATGGAACTATTCAAACTTCTGGCATAGATTATGCTTTTTGGTGTTCGAAGTTCGTGAGTTCTGATAGGGGTTATCCCGTCTGGGAGGTGTGCTCAAATAATTATTCCTAATCAAGAAGCTGGACCAAACGCTTGAGGGTGAGTGAGGGCAGGACAGAACCAGGTCTCTGGTGAGGTGTGTTGAGTCCTGAGGACGTTGTCTCAATAAAAGCCTGGGTTGTTCTTTTCTCATGTCTCAGAAAGAAAGAAGAGGGTCCTGTAGAATGATCGTGGTAAGCTTCCCGTGGTAGCGAAAGGTCAAACGTGGTCCTGTCCACCAAGTAAACTCCCGGAATCTAGACGAAAGCTCCCCGAGCACAACTATGCATGGACTTTCTATACCAAAATGGGAGCTTTATTAGTTGTGGTATGCTATTGAAAACGTCTTGTAATGATATTCTGCGCTGAAAAGGGGTGATTCTGTCGAGGAATGAGACGCGGTATTGTAAGACGAGAGCTTGTCCATGGATGGCTGCAACATGGGCAGGATGCAAGAATAATCAAGCTTTCTGTCTAAGACTTTTTTTTCTTAATCTTTGATGATAGCTTGAAAATTTCGATAATCTGGGAATACCCTCATTTCCGATGGCTCTCGTCGCCCCCGTTGAGACACTAAATAACGCTTATCGAAGCCCACCTGGAAGATGAGCATCTAGCCTCAAAAGGCCCTGAATGAAACCGCCAGACGAGGTTGAAATGTCAAGCATGCTGGTCGGGTCAAGCGCAAGGCGCTGCAGAGCGCTTGGTACCAAGGGGAGACTGGGCAAAGCTAACCTCTCGCCACCGACTGTCGAAAAGAGGTTAACTCAAGCCATTATCGCCTTTTTCGACCCTTTCCAGCACCTGACTGCACTCAAGCATCTATGAGAGAAACTCGCTACAGGAATCTATGATGGGGCGTTTGAGTGTACGAGGAACTGCACAAATGAAGAAGATGCTGCTAATGGGGGCGCACAAGACCTGCGCTAGAGTCTGGAACGGCGCGCAGTGAGCTAGTGAATAAGGGCAAGTAGCGGAGAGGCAAATCCAGTCGATCTGGGAGGCGATGAGGTCTAGGAGGTGTATGGGAGCGGGAGTGGAAGTAAAGTGAAGTGAAGTGTACATGAGTGGCTTTTTCCGTTGACTTTTAGACCGAAACATTGTGCTCAAGCTTGTAAGCCAGGGCGTGGTCCGACCACTACAGAGTGGGATCACAGTCGAAAATGGGGTGATGTGGTTCTAGACAGCCAGCCACGGATCTGACATGGCGTCGAGGCTGAGGGCCCGAGTATAGAGATGCAACTTAGGCTTCGGCTTCGCACAGGTACGGTATGTATTGTATGTGCACGCAGGGTTCTCGCCGGACATGAGCGCAAAACAAAAACACAGACAGACAGTGCCCGAGCAGTGAAGAGTCGGCTTGAAACAAACTGGGCCAAGCTATCGCTATTCATGCGATTGTTTCATAGCACGGACCCAAGATTTAACAGTTGTTTCGTGGAACTGAGCCAAGGGCGGGATTGCACGACGGCGAACTACCTCTGGCCGAGACTGAGCTGCACCTCACTATCAGACAGTGATGCTCTCGTGTCCGTGAGAGATAAATGTTGGCAAAAGAGTGGACGACGTTATGCACGGAGCTATCCTTGCTGGCCGGACACAGCAGCTCATGCATTTGAAAGGTACCTCGCGTGTTCTGGTGACGGCCATCACTTGGATATTTCTTTCAGCCCACTCTCTCTCTTCCTCTGCTTTATTACGTCCAGTAATATTTCACAACAAGACTTGTTTTCGCCGAAATGTCTGCGACGAGGGACTCCCTATGGGTGCTGATCAGTTGGGCAGCGGAAGTTTGCGCATACGAGAACGCTGTTTGCATCTCAACCATACTAAACAAGGATACGTGTCCTCTCAACGAGTTTTCATCTTGTTTTCCTCGTATCGACTCTGCGTACTGGTATTGTGTATCCTCAACCTGGGCTTGACAAGCTTCCATCGTAGCGTTTTGTATATTGATGGTCTGCAAAGTTCAATGAATGCCCTCGCCAGTGTCGTAATAGCAATAGTGCGACACCCCCTGACTTGACTCGCATTATTCCGATTGGATCATTGACAGGTTGTCGTTCTCCCCACGCTGATGTGATTGTGTATCTTCCCTTGCGGCGAAGACAATCATTCACCCATGGCCCCGCTGGCTGTGCTGGCTGTGCTGGAACGAGTAGATGGCAATGCATTTATAACAGTTTATTTGATTAAGAAACTTATGATATTGAACATGTCATGTTAGTGCAATGCTGTGATAAACCGCTTATTGGCCGATTCACGAATCAGAAACTCTACGAACTAACCTCCGACTTCAACCCTGTTCGTGACAATCCCGATGAAGAAGCTCACCGCTCAAATACCGGCAAAAGGTGCCCTTATTCTGTGCTAATCTGCGTGTGTATCAATAACAGGAGCTTCTTGAAGACGAGAGTTGTGACTTTTGCCTCGACTCAAAGTGCATCCTGAAAACAGCTCACGGCCCAGACCGAGCCCTCCCGTCTGCTGCCTCCCGGTGTGATACTACATCAGCTCAGACCTCGGGATACATGATGAGTTCCATGCAATCTGCCGACTTGAAACTCCCCAGGTGGTATGATCTGCAGGAAATAAATCCTCCGCTTAGTGCCGCGGGAACTGGCAATGATGGCGGATAGTTGTGTAACCTGAGAGCCAAGTTCACGGGAGGAGACATCTAAGGGGGTGTGGCCAAGTCCGGTAGCTTTTATCTGAATTAGAGACGCTACAAGGATCTTCATAGACATTATATGCGTTTGTGCTATTGTCTTCGATGTTATCTCATGTATACTAACAACTTCACCACTGGTGCAACCATCACTGACCGAGCATGGCTTCATGACTTGGAGGATGCTTCATGAAGAAAAGGGAAAGGAAAATTGAATTAATGAAACAATTAGTGAAGTGTGTATCACTCTTAGTTTCCATTTGCATACTTTTGTTCTTGAGTATGACAATCGGCTGCTGGAGTCCACATGGAACACACAAATTAGTTGCTGGAACTTTCAACAGTCCCAGTCCTGAGCCAGAAACTCCCATGACCCTAAAGAAAATATTGAATTATATGTAATCAAAGCGTGTTAGTTATCCGTCCGTATAATATAGGCTCTGCTATAAGCATGCTTTGCTCTCATGCAACGCTCCTTGAAGGTAGAGATGCATAAGCCAGGAAGGCTCTGTCTCTGGACACGCAGTCTCCTAATCTCAAAATATATGGCATGGTTAGTTTAGACATTTCTAAAAGTTTTAATAAGTAACATGGGTAGTTAGATAGCTACGGCGCGGTTGTACAGATATGGGAAATCACCATCTCAATGAATACGCAGGTCTGATGCCTTTCCCATAGCCATGGACAAAATGGCCATGCTTGGGGGTTTGTTTCTCTTTTTCAATGCAATTGAAAATTAATTAGGTACTAGAATAATACATATGTGTCTTGCTTAAGTTTAGAGTCATGTTTATGATGACTTGCTTGCCATGAGACGCTCGAGTGAAGAGACGCAGTGACACTCAGCGACATATCAACCTGTATGGCTCCGACCTTCAAACAAATACATTCATAGATACAAAAAGTCCACAAAGGTCCCTGGCTTGCTTGCTTTATAGCCTACCACGCCTTGGTAAGTACATTATTAACCATCGCTAGAGTTGTGGAATCTGAAAACTTGCAGTATACAGATGAAGGCATTTCACCAACATATTTGAACGAGACCAACCCTCTTTCAACGATGTAAAATGACCCGAACAGTTATTAGAACCTTTTTGAGGACGTCTAGCTCTTTTGTGTTGGATGTTTGTGCTGAGTGAAGTGGGTGAGTAAAAGTGGTAGGAGGGAAGGCTGCAAGGAAGCCATCCATAATAAGGTTCATGGTGAGACTTGATGCAGGCGATCTACTGGTCACTGATTTCGAATCATCAAGAGAATGACCTCTTTTTGGTGTAGATATGCCAGTCTTTGGCTGTATAAGTAACAAAATGATATCATGACCCAAAACCGTAACATACTGGAAAATGCCAGAATTATGCATACACCCCATAAAACGCTCGATAAAACCACTATGCCTATTTTTATCCACCCATTTTTGAACACAGGCTTATTTATAGCTTAGAAGCAGGGCTGGGAGGTCCAGCCTGAGTGATTTCATTGTAAAGAAGACTACGCAGTAGTTAGTACTCTGGACCCAGATAGACAGCGGGGTTGGATGAACTTACGTTGTGAGGAAGTCGGCATAATCCTCGCCAGTGACCTGACTAGAGAAGTATTGAGCAGCAAGGTGGTATTTGTTACCCTTGGGGGCAGACGCAGCAAGCTGATCAGCAACCTCCTTGAGCAGCTTCAAAGCGTACGACTTATCAACACGCTTGCCCTCAGCAGTGTTAACACCATGTTTGACCCATTGCCAAAGTTGGCTTCGAGAGACTTCGGCGGTGGCAGCATCCTCCATGAGGTAGTTGATAGGGACACAACCCACTCCGCGAATCCATGCCTCCATATAGCCAAGACCAATGTTGAGGTTCTTCTTGATTCCCTCTTCCGTGACGGTACCAGGGACGTTCATGTTGAGCAGATCGTTCTGGCCAATGGTAACATCCTCTCTTCTCACAAATAGCTGGTTGGGAGTCGGCATGTGCTTGTCAAAGATCTCGGTAGCGATGCTTGCAAGAGCAGGGTGGGCAACCCAAGTGCCGTCGTGTCCAGCACGAACTTCACGGAGCTTGTCAGCGCGGACACCCTCCATAGCCTTGTCGTTGGCAGCAGTATCGTTCTTGATAGGGATCTGTGCAGCCATACCACCCATGGCGTGAACACCACGCTTATGGCATGTCTGGATCAGAAGTTTCACATATGATTCCATAAAGGGAACAGTCATGGTGACCGCGGAACGGTCTGGCAGGACAAAGTTGGGGTTGTTGCGGAACTTCTTGATGACGCTGAAGATGTAGTCCCATCGACCGCAGTTGAGGCCAGAGCTGTGGTCGCGAAGCTCATAAATGATCTCGTCCATCTCGAAAGCGGCAAGAATGGTCTCAATCAGAACAGTACCTCGGATGGTGCCTCTGGGCATACCGATGTAGTCTTGAGCAAGGTTGAAGGCGTCGTTCCAAAGGCGAGCCTCAAGATGGCTCTCCATCTTTGGAAGGTAAAAGTAGGGGCCGAAGCCCTGACGTTGGGTCTCAAAGGCATTGTGGAAGAAGTAAAGACCAAAGTCGAAGAGGGAACCAGAGATAGGCTCGCCATCAACTGTGACATGCTTTTCCTCGAGGTGCCAGCCACGAGGACGGACAATGAGAGTAGGTAGCTTGCGGTCGGTGCGAAGCTTGTACTCCTTTTGTCCCTGCTTGAAGTCGACCTGGCGACGGTTGGCGTCGTACAGGTTGACCTGTCCATTGATCATATTGTCCCAAGTTGGGGCACTTGAGTCTATTACAGTATTAGCAGACTAAATCATCACCAGATCACGCATCCATTAAAAGCCATAGACGGTCATTTTCCAGTCCATAGAGCAAGTAATTCAAGATGTAGTAAGAACAGCGACTCACCCTCAAAATCAGCCATGTAAGTGTAGACATTGGCGTTTAGTGCGTTGACAACCATCTTCCGGTCTGTGGGGCCGGTGATCTCAACACGACGGTCCACCAGGCCCGGGGCGGGAGGCGCACCCTTCCATGTAGGGTTCTCGCGAATATGCTTAGTCTCAGGAAGAAAGTCGGGGAGAACTCCTCGATCAAGCTCGGCCTGGCGAGCCTTGCGTCGCTCAAGGAGATTCTTGCGTCGCTCATTGAAGGAACGGTGCAGCAGTGCAAGAAAGGCGAGAGCCTCGGGTGTGAGGATCTTGCGGTGGATGTCGTCAACCTTGCCAGAAACGGAGACACCCTGAAGGACAGAATCGACGGAAGCCATTGTGATCGCAAATGGAGAACGATTCTTGTTTTGACTGATGGAGGATGAGGTGAGGTGAGGTGAGGAGAAAGGCCAATGGGTATTATATACTACTACCAGCACTTTCACGTGTCGACGATGTCTCTGGTGATGAGGCGCCAGTGACGGTGCTTGTAAGTAGCTCTGATACTTTGCGCAAGGTTGAATGAGACAAGTGCGGAGTTTGGGGAAATGCTCGATCTCGATGAAGGTGAGAGTGAATTATTGGGAAAGCTAGTATTGAAGAGCAGAAGGATTGGGACAAGGCAGATAATTATATACATGTTAACACTGAAGCAGCTGGTGCTCCGCACATCAAATTCCTGAAGGCGCAACGTGCCTCGGACGAGGGCCGAGGGGCGCCTCCGCGTCAGTGACGGCACCGGGCCTGGGGAAGATGAAGATATCCCTGCAAATGAATGTCAGATGCAACACCGCACTGTCCTCTGCCTACCTTCAGTACTACGTGCGCCGAGACCAGCCCGTACATTGAAGTCCGACGATTGTTTTCTCATATTCGATTGAGCAAGGTAACTAGGTACCTACTTTTGTCAAGTTGGCTTTCGTTGCTCCCATTCCTCTAGAGCAGGGCGCTGCAAGGACGTATCGTTTGTTATGCGGGCAGGTGATTTCACAAGCTTACCGTGACAGTACAATACTGGGATTTTGGGGCTTCTATCACCGTGCTTTTCCATTCGATGACCGAACAACGGCCATCGTCCGTGTTGAGCTCGGTAGCCATCGGCCTGGCTCGGGTGGATGGAGTGAAGGTTCACAGGTTTAAAGGCAGTATCAAACCAGGCAAGATCTGACGCTAATGTCAAGGTGAATAGCATGTGGAGACGGAAATGGTGGCTAACTGCCGTGACGGTCCGGGGAGCTCAGCCGAAAGGGTACCTGAACAGCTAAAATATATACTTCCAAGTGGACAAACTGTCACCAAATTTGTTGGGGGCCGTGGGCGGCAACTTGTATGCCTTTAGAGGAAGCCTTGTACACATGAGATATCAGGGACGTACCTACCTTCCCTCCATCGCGACTTCCCATTTCATACTCCCTCTCAGAATTACCGGACCTATTCAATAGGTACTTACCTACCTAGCTTTGTCAACCACCACCTTGTTTATTGCTCGGTCTTCGACCGAGAACCTACATTCGCTTGCCATCATTCTAAGCCTCTCGATGCATATCAAGCCATTCTTATTGAACCTCGGTTGCAGTGACTGCTACACTCTTGAAACTATTGACTTACTAGTATTGATCAACTGTACCTACATGGGTACCGCAATCAATGACACCGTAGTTCGGTCTTGACCTCCGAGACGGCCTCTCGGTTTTTACTACCAGGCCACCAGCAAGGGAACAGAATTTTAACGACTTGTTACCTTTGACTTTTAGTAAGCTTGAGAACATATAATGTGGTCTCGGTGAAGAAGCGTATCTTGCTATCGAAACCATGGATCCGATCTCCCGACCGAGCAGCCGAGGCAGGTGAAGGGATCCATCCATATCTCGGGAATGTTACCGAACTTCTCCACATACGTTGATCGATTCGGACTTGACTTCCGACAACCAAACTCGTCGATATGGTAGATAGGTACCATCTCGCCCACGGGTTGCTCAATGGTGTGTGTTATGGGACAATTCAAGAGCGCTCTCTACTCACCGTATCACTTGCTTGAGCAAGGTAAACTACATTAAAAAGAAGATCTACCAGGTGTTTTCAAGTAACGTAAGCTTGTTTGCTAGTGCTCTCGATAACCATAGACAAATCGACTGATGAGACACAGCAGCACTCTCTCCAGTTGAATACAAAATCAAATTCGAGTCGCACGTGCTGGTGAATTAGTCTCGGGCATTAAGATTATGTATCTATGCCTGTATATCCAGAAATTCAAGACTACAAGCGGGCTAGTTTGAAAGAGAGCTGGTAGTAAGTCAAACACTCCTTTGATTTGTGGAGGAGATTGGTTTTTTCTCCTAAATAATCCATTACTTGATTAATGAGAAACTATAGATATTTTGGTCTTCATACTATCTGAATTACTATGGCTGGTACAGATAAGCAATGACATGCTTTACCAAACTGGCTTTACCTGCTGAAGCTACAACCCATCAGGACTGTGTGAAGGTCGACTATAACATCCCCCTGCACCAACTATAAGTTAGTCATAAACACAAGAAGGCCTCGTCTTACCAAGGGGCCTCTGAGTTTTGGCTGTTGGTCTACCAAGATAGTGATGAGATCAAAGGTTTGCTCGAAGCTATGAAGCACTATGAGACGCAACCCAAAGGCGAAGTCGAAGCATATACAAACTATGAATTCCTTCTTTCTCAAACCACAAGGACTCTGATGGTCAATGTCCGACTACTCCCCGCAGACCCTCTCTATTCGACAGAACAGCTGCAGAAAATGTATTACTGCATAAACCACAGAATCTAAGCAGTGCTAGGAAGAAGCAGCCTTAACAGCTTCTGTAACCCAAGCTCCTTTGGTTAAATTAGTATTCTAAGCCCACAGTTCATGATGATTACACAAAGAGAAAGTTTGGGGCATGGACCAGGCAAGGCCACCATGAGTTTTAGCTCTCAGGCAGCTCTTGGCTAAAATCAGCTCCATGGCACAAAACATGCTTCATACGTTTAATCAATACGTGGACTCACTTTCTGGATGCAAGCCGCGTGTTCAGCTTGCCCTTCTAGTTTTGTTTTTAACTGACCAGGTTCTCAAGAGAAAATTCGCGATATAGGATGATAAAGGGATTATCTAGTTAAGGGACGATTCAGTGGCTATTCCTAGCCTACAACTATTCCCTCCTGTACTCCGCATATTCGCCCGTCCATGTTTAAGAGAAGAAATCATACCTTTCACCTTGACCCAAAAGCAGAACAAAACGGAAAGCAATGGCTCATACATCCAACTCCATACAACCAATACCATGCACATAACTCTTTGCATAACCCCGTGATCCAACCCGCAAGGCTGTGTCAATGGCCAGCTTGCATCATATTTCGACAAGTATATATCGAAGGAGCCAGCGTGGAGCTGATTGAAACACCAATATTACGAGTTGAGTGTCTTAATCATCATCTTTCGCTTGTTCCTGTCGGCTACCACCAAAGCTCTTGCGTCGAAGATCATGTTCATTGTGTCGACTACTCTGTGGAAGCTGCTGGCTGCTCCTCGCTCCTGCGTGAACCGAATGATGCTGAGTGGCTGTTTCTTACCATGCTCAATCACTGTAACGACCTCTGCGGCAAAGGATACTTCTTTCAGATTCAAAACTAAGGTCTCTGTCAGTTCTGGTGCCGCAATCATGTCAAGCATACCACTTACAGTTCTTAGCTGCAATCCGTGCAAAGACAATGTTCCTTTGTTTGTCCACTTGAATGTCTCGAATGCCGTACTTGCGCCATTCTCGTAGGAGGATGGTAACCTCCTGACGTGCTCGTCTCCTCGAAATCGTCATGCAAATGTGGTCTGTTGCTGGTTTGACTCTGAACAGGCGTGCAAGCCAGTTTTGTTTCACCTCAATGTTGCGCACCGGGCCGGAGCCAGACTCGTGCCATTTGGTCTGAGATACCTTGGCGGAAACATGTGTCTTACCCATGATGTTGATCTCCAGTGAAGGTCGCTCTTCATTCTGCTCAGGTCCTATTTTCAATGTTAGATCACCATGTACAACTCTGTTTACGGAGACGAAATAACTCACTGGCGGTTGACATAACAGAGTCTCTTTGTTTATTGCTCTTCCAAAACGAAAAGTGGAAAGTCTTCTTCTTAGTCGGAGCCTCTGTTGACGTTGAATCGCTTCGCTTCCCATCACTAGAAGTCAAGTACGAAGTGCAATCTTGCCACTCAACGGACTCCCGGCTGGGCTCTGACTCAACTTTTGAAGATCGTTTGAACCAAGACAATTTTTTTTTCTTTGTCGCCGCCTGAGCGTCATGGCAAGGGGGCTCCAGCGAAAGTGTTGTGGCAGTGGTGCCACCATCCACACTGCGTTGCGACGCCGAGTCCAATTCTCGAAGTTGTGTAGCAGGGGCCGAGTTCCGTTGCTCGGGTTCAGGGACCTTCTTCCTTACGTTGAGTGGCTCGGGAATCTTCACGGGGCTCTCATCACCTGGCGAATGAACCACACGAATGCTGTTTTCGACTTGACTTAAGTATTCGATGCCACGGATTCTATCAATCCCTTTCTTTGTTGGTGTATGCGGAGGCGCTGACACGATACGAGCCTTGTCGTTGGCCGCTGCTCCAGCTTCGTTGATGGATGGCAGCGCAGCAGTTCTTTTGTGCTTTTGAGTATAAGTCGGAGCTGAGACAACCCGGCGCTCAGTGTGTCTCGTAAGCAGAACTGGCTGGGCTACCTCGACCTGCTCTGAGCTCAACTCTTCCGAATAAGATTCCCCAGTCATTGGTCTGGAACCAGTGGGTGTTGGGGCCAACGAATGACCATTGTAGCTTGGCGTCGGAGTCGGCAGAGGTGGAAGGGGCCGGTTGTTGAAAGACTTCTTCGAAAGCTCGAGAACATCTGTGGCCGAATCCTCGGGTGCGTCAATGGTGAAGGAAAACGGCGTAGATTCGTACTGGGTGCGGTCTGGTTCAGTCAGCGAGCCAGCGATGGAGTCCTCTTCTATCAATGAGCTTTTGAACGCTTCGTCACAGTCCTTGGCAATATTGCTGCTAAAGTGGCGTAGTTCCTCCTTGAAGATTTCGGAGGCGTATCGGGACCCAAGCGCTATTCGTAACGCTTGTCCCGAGGAGCGTTTTTGAGGGTCATGTCCATCCGCCAATTTTGGAAGCACGCCACTAGGTAGGCTTGGGAGTTCTGGCGTGTGAGATCGAATCATTTCGATTTGATATGTTGAACCTTGCTCCGTAACATAAGGAGGCATTGAACCACTCCTGTTGCGATTGGAGGATGACGTCGATCTCTTCCGGACATGCGTGAAGTCAACTCCACGCCTGTGTCGCAAAC